CTGTGCACTCCCTGCCTGTGCCGCAGTGCTGGGCACTGGCCGAGGCTCAGCCGGGGTGGGAGTTGTCTGAGGTGGGGAGGAAGAGAAAAGGAATGGGGGATCCTGCTGGGTCTCCCCAGGATGCGCTCGAGGTGGGCGTCAAGCTGCTGGGGAAACCGAGGGGATGAAACAGCCAGAGCTCATCTCCAGCTCTGTCCGTACGAAGCAGGGGTGGTCCCACCGCAAGACTGCTGATGGAGCATCTGTGCTGATGCTGTGCAGAAACCTGCGGCAGGAGCATCTCCCGTTCCCCCAGGGTGCCTTTGGGCAGGTGCAGAGTGGGCAGACGGGGCAAAAACAGCGGCATTTACCCCTCCCACCCTGCAAAACCCTTTGACTAAAATCACAGTCACAGCATCACCAGAGGGCACCGTCCTGTCCAGAGATGCCAAAGCCTTAATGGCTCCTTGAGGAGCTATTTATTTTAACTTCTAAATATTATGAAGTTTATTTACTTGTATTTGTACCACGTTTATTAAGCTTACTCAGCTCCCGCTCGGTACCTTTCCATGGCCCTTGTAGGAGGACAGGTGCTCGAGGACGGAGGGGAGGCTGGGGAGACAGTGTGTGTCACCATGCGGTGCTGGCAGGACGAGCAAGCCGAGGGCAGCCCTCGGGCGACAGGACATGAGCTCGCCGAAAGGCGCTTGCCAGAGCTGTTGCGGCACGGCCCAGCTCCCAAAGCAAGCAGCTGAGAGCTGGGCGCTCCCAGGAGCGGCCGCAGCAGGGAAGACCACAGCGCCCAGTCTGCGATAGGCAGCGCCAGGGACTGGCCACAGCCTGCACCTACCTTGGCTGTCCAGGCTGATGTCCATCACGCCGTGCTTGACCTTCATGTGCCGGCTCAGGTTGCCCTTCAGGTTGAACTTGCTGGAGCAGTAGGGACACTTGAAGGGCTTGCTCCCCGCGTGCAGGTGCATGTGGCCCAGCAGGTTGTACATGCGGTTGAAGGACTTCCCGCAGACC